TGAAAATACCTCATGCAATGAATTGCTATAATGGAAAATGATTTTTTTTTACAGCCTGTTTGGGGACATCTCTTAAAAAGAAACATACACAAAATAAATGAAGTTTCAAGTTATTGGTATAGGTTGAATAGTTATTTAAACTAAAAAAGAGGATAAATAACAGACTTCACCTACGTGGTGTTAATTCACTATATGATTGCTGTTCTTCCTTTGTAATAATCTTTTAAAGCAATCTATTAACAACTAGGCCAAGTTCTGTTTCACCTTTTAAATACATAAATAGACTTCTGTGCATAAGATCAATACTGCTTGAGTCCCTGAGAAACAGTTAATTCAAGAAGTGAGCAGATCCTCATCTTCCTTCCTGCTTTTTTCTGACTGGGTTTTAATGGAAAGATTAAAGTGTGTTGCAAGAATAGATGCATTCAGGGATTTTCAACACTGGACAGAATTCCACTTAGATGCCAATAGGTGAAATGGCCCTTAGAGATCTAGCATGCTAGAAGGGAGGAATAGGCTGCAAATGGACCTAGACAGGTTACAGGGGTGGGAGGATGAGAACAGGATGGGTTTCAACACTGACAAGTGCAGGGTACTGCACCTGGGGAGGAAGAACCACCAGCATACCTACAGGCTGGGGAACTCCCTTCTCGTCAGTGCAGAGGCAGAAAAGGATCTTGGAGTCATTATTGATGCCAAAATGAACATGAGCCAACAGTGTAGGGACACGGTCAGGAAGGCTAACCGTACCTTGTCATGCATCTACAGATGCATCTCAAGCAGGTCCAAGGAGGTGATCCTCCCCCTCTACAGCCTGACTAGTGTCGCATAGTTGGAGTACTGCATCCAGTTCTAGGCGCCGCACTTCAGGAGGGATGTGGACAACATGGAGAGGGTCCAGAGGAGGCCACTCGCATGATCAGGGGGCAGCAGGGCAGGCCCTACAAGGAGAGGCTCAGGGACCTGAACCTGTTCAGCCTCCACAAGAGAAGGCTGAGGGGGGATCTAGTGGCCGATTACAAACTAGTCAGGGGGGACCAGCAGGCATTGGGGGAGTCCCTGTTCCCCCGAGCACTACCAGGAGTGACTAGGAATAACGGTCACAAGCTGGCAGAGGGTAGATTCAGACTAGACATCAGGAAGCGCTACTTCACTGTCAGGGCGGCTAGGATCTGGAACCAACTTCCAAGCGAAGTGCTGCTGGCTCCTACCCTGGGGGTCTTTAAGAGGAGGCTAGATGAACACCTTGCTGGGGTTGTTTGACCCTAGTACTCTTTCCTGCCATGGCAGGGGGTCAGACTTGATGATCTGCTCAGGTCCCTTCCGACCCTACCAACTATGGAACTGTGAAACTTTTCCCATTCACATACAGAACTAAACAGTGTAGCAGGTATTGCATGAAGACAGTTGTAAGGCCGGAAATGGTGGAGAGCAATAGCTATGTGGGGACCTGTCCAGTGCTCCTCAACCTTTTTTAGACTGAAGGTACCCCTGGGAAAATGCAGCCCTTACCTGTCGCTCATTTTTTTTGACTACTGAAAAATATTTTGTAAAGAACACAGAATGACTCCAGCAGGTCAGGCAGTTTACTTCTACTTGGGTGTATCATGTGAATCCCATGTATGTGTTTGCATATCTAACAGCCCTAACATTGTGCAGGACCCCTGAAACTGTGTCAGCACCCAGGTTGGGCATAAGTTACTGCCTCCGACCCCGGCTGGCCATTTAGTGCAGAGGCACAGCAGCTGGCTCTGTTACTCTGAAGGCAAGTGAATCGCAGGATAAATTTGCACTTTATGTTGGCAAGTACCAAAATTGTCTTGTAAAAGCAGAAGGAAAGGGTTTGGGGTCAGTAGAGTTGAGGTCTTAGAACGTGTTCCTATTTGTTACGCTGTAAAGTGGGCTCCCTTTACGTGAACTTGAGTTACGCGCCATTTTCCAGGAACAGTACAGCATAAAGTGAGGGAAACCTGTGTGTGTGTGTGTGTGTGTGTGTGTGTGTGTGTGTGTGTGTGTGTGTGTGTGTGTGTGTGTGTACACACATATATAAATATACAGATAGATTATATATATATATTTGTGTATATACGTGTATATACACAAACACACACATATGTATATAGACTATGGACACATGAAAATTGTCTATACATTATGTGCATATGTGCACACACACCTATCTATATAGAGCATGATATAGATATGAGCATAACATTTATATATATAGATATCTATAGATAGATATCTATAGATAGATATATAACTATAGATATATATAGATAGATAGATAGCATGAGATTTCCTGAGCTCAGGGTCACTTCCTCAGAAGCGCTGACTAAGCTACCTTGGCCGCAGACATGCAGCAACGCAGTCCGGGCAGCCCCACAGCGCCACGCCGCGCCGAGCCCACGCTCTCGCGAGACCGCTGCCGTCCGCCATTTTGCCATTGATTGCCGGGGGGGGGAGAGGAGGGGCGGAGGTCTGGGGGCCGAGCTGCTGGCGTCCCTCCTCCTCGCGCCGCCGCTGACGCTGACTGCCCGCGCAGGCCTCTGCGGGCCCCGCGCCCGGCCATGGTGCCCAGCGAGGAGAGCCAGCTCGTCCCCAAAGAGGTGAGC